CCATTTTCTATAACAAAAGCTTTTTCAATAACTTTATGGTTCTTCACAAGAATCAAAACCTCTTTTCTATTTAAAGTGGCGGTCGAGAGGTGTTAACCATTAATATGCACATCTTGATAGCTGATCAGACTCTAAGGTGTTGAAGGTACAAACATCGCATGTTTACATTTTATGATGGAACCTGCATGTAATTTTACCATTGCTGTGCCTTCTTGGAAACAAAACGCATTTGCTCCAACCATGGTTATCATATTTTCAGTTTGCCAAGTTGAAGATTTTTCAATAAAAATCGTCTATCTCGCAAGATAGTATGTGTTGTTGCAGAATCAATGAGTGCATCATTTGATTCATCATTAGAGGTTCCATCATTCATATAAGCATCTAAGTCATCAACACCAATTGAATCCATGGACGCATCCATCGTAGTATGAACTTCACGAGCCTCAGCTTATAATTTCTTATTTTCTTGGAATATTTTAATAAAATATTTTGAAGTATGGCACACATGTGCTAAATGTCCAATCATTCCACACTTATAGCAAGAATGCATCTCTGATTTTTATTTTCTACTATAATTAATAGTAAAACATTTATTCTTTCCATATGGGTAGAAATGGTCTTAACTATGACTACTCTGATACTTATGAGCACATTTCCCATGTTTATATAATTTCTTCTTAGTCTTTGAAATATTAAGTGCATGAGATTTTGGAATTCTAGTTCCAACAGGACAAGCTTCTACATTACGCAAGAGTAGCTCATTTTGCTTCTCCACAAGAAGTAGATAAGACATGAGATCAAAATGACTCTGAAATTTCATGTTCCTGTATTGTTGTGCAAGCACAGCAAATGTAGGAGGAAATGTAGAGAGAGTTTTCTCAATCATTTCTTCTTCAAAAATGTTTTTTCCACATAATCATAATTGTGAGACAATACTATACATTTAACTATTGAAAGCATTTAAATTTGGAAAATCCAAGACATGTAAATGTGTCCAATTATGACGTGCACGTGGAAGAAAACTGGTCTTTTGATGATCAAACCTAGATTTAAGATTCTTCCAAAGTTCTACAGGGTCTTCTATTTCCAAATATTGATGTTGTAATGCAGGTACAAGATGACGACGAAGGAGAAGAAGTACTTTCCAACAAATAGCAGGAAGTATAGAAATACTTGTTGTAGGAGATTCTTCAAACATAATGGCATCCAAGAGTTGTTCTGCAAATAAATTTGCTTTTGCCATTTTTGCCCATAATAGATAATTATTTCCATCCACAATCAATGGTGGAAATAAAAGAGCTTGAAAATATTGGAATGCATTGGTAATAATTTGAACCATAGTAGAAGCAGCTGAAGATATTGAAGCACTTATTATAAATTAATCTGTAAAGAAAATACAAGATTAAATAGAAAAGTTGAATAAAACGTACCTTAAAATATAAAGTCAAATAAAATGATAAACTTGAATTTAAAAAAACCAATAAATATATATATATATATATATATATATATATATATATTTTGAGGGAGAAAGAGTTGTAGATTAAGGCAGCAGAACAACAATAAGATGGCAATAGCAGGTAGTGGTAGGGCGGCAGGGTGGCAGCGGGCGGCAGCGTCAATGGCGACAAGGTGGCGGCGGCGAATTTGGCAGCAGTTCGGTGGCTGTTTGGGGCGCAACAGAAAGCATGGAGCAAGCAGAGGGTGGAGTTGGGTTGGATCAAGTATTCAGAGCAAACAAAGTAGAGAGTGGAATAAGTGCTCTAAGCAAGCAGCTAATGTGTGAGGGGCTAGCAAGAAGAACAAGATCATGACCCAGACACTGAACAAGGGTAGCAACAGATTTGAAGAGTCAAAGACTAGAGCAAAAAATTGTGATAATATATTGAAGAGAATCATGCTGATAACGTGTTAAGAATGTTTAGAAAGACACAAGAGTAATAGTAAGTCATACACACACACAAGAGTAGTAGTAAGTCATACACACAAGAGGGTTTCTAAGGAGAGAGAGCTTTACACACTCAAATCTATTGATCTAGTTGTGTCTCATATACAAGAAGAGAAAAGAAGAGAGGATAAACATTACCTCTCCACTAGGCTCTAAATACTGTAGCTATGATATTTACTGTAGTCTACAATAAATGTTATGGAGAGCGCCGGCTACATTTAATGATCTCAACAGAAAAAAAAAAGGCTTTCTAAGGCCTCTATTCATGAGGGTTTGAAGTAAGTTTGTAAAAAAAGAAAGTAGCTTAGTCTTAGATTTTATATGTTTGTTGGTATTCCTAAAATTTATGTAAGATTGATTTTGGTTTGAAGAGGGAGCATAAGAAACAATTAATATGAATAATTAGATTGACTTATAATTCCATGTATTAATTGCCACATCTTTGTGCCATCTAAGCTAAATAAACACAATTTTTTTTTAAAACTTGATTTAAATTAATTATCATTTTATTTCAAAGAAAATACCTCTTTATGTAGAATGTTCAATTTTTTGACAATAATGTTAATTGATGTAGATCTTCTTTGTGTAATTTTTTACCTAAATTTTGCTCAGTAGCTCATGAAATCATATCTAGTGATTCAATAATAAGATTTGAGGCCAAAGGTTATTTCACTATCTCAATCATAGAGGGAATCAATGGAATTCATATCTTTGCATATTGAGACTATTTTATGTGTCATTCTTATAATTTTTAAGAATCTAGCTTCTTAAGTGTTATTGTCTTATAATTATAAATTATATTGATTGAAAAAGAGAATTTCATCATATTATAGATTTTTAGATTGAAGGCTTATATAAAAATAAAAATAAAATACCTTTGTTATTGGTACTAGAATAAATCTCTTGTTTTCTTCTACTTCTTCTTATTAACATGAGAATCAAAAAATTACTAAAGATTGGTGATTATTTTTTGAGGTATAAACTCTAGCTTAATATTTTGTTTTAGATAGGATTGTGCTTTGTTGAAGTAATCTTTTCTATGGCCTAAAGAAGTAATAGCATATTTCTTTCTATAAGTATAATTAGCATAATGTCTCTATGATATCTTTTGGTGTTACTTCTTCAATTTTCATGGATTGTCGTAGAATAATAAATATATCTTCTATTTTTAGAAATCCATTTAAGTAATGAAATTGTAATTTTATAGAATAAAATAAATTAATTCTACACTTATAGAATGTGAATGGAGGTTTAAGCTTAATATTATAATTCATTTGTATCCAAACTTTGTCAACCTTATTTGTAACTTTTGAATCCATATACCACTTCTAATTTGAATTTGGAGAAAGGGCCTGAGCACAATCTACAAGCCATGCAACTAGGGCTTTTGGAATAGCATTCATTATTTTATATTTGCAAAACCTAGTTAAAGAGCCACTAGCATCCATTTTGTGAGAAGGCTTTAATAGCTTCTTTTAGGTCAATTAGTCCAAAGCCACCTATTTCTTAATTTTTCCACCATAAAGACTATGCAAATTATAACAACATCTAATTAAATTTAATAAGTTAAAATAAACCATGTAAATATTTTAAGTTCAAAATGAATCTTATGTTTAAGAATTATTATCTTTAACCTTAATATACAAGTGTTGATTAAGTATTTAATTGCAAATTTGAAAGCTTTTGACATAAATAACTATCATAAATTTAAATTCATGTGTTTTTAAAAAAAAGTACAAAATAAATATATTATTCAATGAATAATGTAAAATGAATATCTCATATTATTTTGTGCAGAATCAGTTATCAATTAATAATGGTTGGTCAAATTTTGTCTCATTAGTTTCTTGAATAATAAAATTTAATAGATTCCAATTTGGTTTTTAAATTTTTTAGAAAAAATTTAAACAATAGACCTTCTATTGCACGTGTTACCAATTATAATTCATGAGCAAGTCTACAAATTATGAGTAGTTTGCTTTAAGGTCAACAATAAATGGTAATGGTTGAAGATTTAATTTCATGTCAATGCTAGAAATTATGATATCAAATGGTATTTTAATTATTTACCACCACACAAAATTCTATCATCAACCCAGTTCCTTTGTAGCAAGATCTAAGTATTGGTTTTGTTGTGGGAAATTAGGAGGTTCATTATGACAACTCTCAAAAGATAGCAGTGCAAAAGAGAAACCGTACACAAAGAAATAAAATAGAAATAAAGTACAAGGAAGGTGTCATTATACCTATGAACATGTGCTAAGAAAACAATACGCTAATGTGGTTGTGCAAAACATAGATTCAAATAGATTCAAATATATTCTAAAATCCAAAATGTATCTAAACTCAAAGCTGAAATATTGGGTCGTCGTTCAAGTTGCCCCTGATAAAATAATCAGTTGCCTAATGAGAAGGAAGTCTAATATTTTGGAGACATTCCAATATTAATTTGCCCCCAAAATATGAATCTGTGCATGTAGCAGCCCAAATTAAAGGCAAACTAATATTTCGGAGGCATCCCAATATTTGATTGCCCAACGTCCAATCCACATCTTAAATTGAAATTTACTATACCAACTGGTGATTATTAGTGTATACTTTAGTCTTCTATAATCAGACTCTGCTCAAATACATAATGCAATCTTTCTCCTATTTCCTAGTGTCGACGAAGTATGTCTACAGGATCGACATCTTAGCGAATAAACTCGACGAAACACACCGACACCGACACCGACATTCTGTTCCTCCTGGTTACTCATAAATGCGGTGATAGAAGTGCCATCACGGGTTGAAAAGATTTCTAGATGTCCTGCAATTTTATTTGCAGCGATGGGTTAGTTCATTTAGGATTTCTGATGGGGGGTTTGTGTGCGTGTGCGTGTGTGAGTGTACACATCTGGATACTGTGAGTTTTTGTTGCAGTCATTTAGTAAGGGGCAGACCATCTGGGAACATGACCCACTAAACACTCTGCAGTTGAAAAGTCTCAGTGACGCTTGATGCCGCTTCGAAAGGTCATTGCGCTGTGTATTTAAAGCCAACTGAGATTGAAGAGTCTGTTGATATCAATGATTGCGAGTGAGGTACCCATTTCGATTTGGTTCACATCTCTTGAGCGAACCCGCACTCTCTGCTTCACTTCCACCACTGCTTCACTTGCCCGCCGATGCTCTTAAATTTAGATGCGAAAAGGCAAGTGAATAAAGAAGCTGGATGAGACAATTGTAACTTCAACGCTTGACTCCATGGCTTCGTTATTGCTACTAATGTCGCCACACAGCTGGGTGGATTGGCTGACCTTGTGATTCTTACAGAGCCTGAACCTGCGAGTGTTGTGGAATACTTTGAAGTGTGGTGAGCTTGAAAATGTCCGCCTACTGGGGCAAATATGCAGGTGATCACCTCACTAATTTACTATCAGAATTTTACACTGTTGGAACTGTAACGCATATGTTTGGCTTGAATGTGCACGATTGCAACGTCATTGTTGAGAGAGAGTCCTGTTGCGAACCACGAATTTTTTTATATTTTAGCCCTTTTTAGGTGTCTGGGCGTAGCGAGCAACCCACAAAGCAAAGGCGCTCACCAGAAACACGCCTGCTGGAAATGCGGTTGGGTCTCAAACGAGCTTGAATCTCTTCTTTCCCTTTGATTATGCCTCTCTCGATGAACGTCAGATGAGTTGGTGTGTCTCCATGCATCATTTTTGACAGGCAGGAGGTTGACATGAACTCCCCGTCTCTCGTGCCTCACGAGTTTCGAAGAGTTTCGGAGAGTTTCGGTGGAATTAAACTACCGAAACAGAAAAACACTGAGATACTTTAACAGTTCCTGAGTTCTTCCAGTCATTGTATCCAGAGGTACGATTTGAAACTATGAGAAGGTGGTCAAAAAAACCAGTTCCCAAATTCTGAAAAGATTCCACATATGGTCGAGCAGTTCTAGTGGCACTAACTTCGAAGTCTCTTTGGCTCCATCATCCTCAACGCTGTAATTCTCAGGATCCTGAAGGTTTCTCGGAATTCCACTGCACGTCCACATCATCAGTATTATCCCACAAACTTTGTTTTCTGTTAGCTATTTTAATAAAATAAATAAAAAAAACAAACAAACAAACTACACATCTACGAACTGGTCCTGTGAGATACGAGATTCTGGTACTCCAATCTGTCATAACTGAGGTGAGGATTGGAGAATTAACGCTTGGTGTATTGCTTCTAATATGCTGGGTTTAGCAGGATCATCCAATCCCGACATTTTAGCTCTAATATGAACAACTGTGGAGATTCACTGCTTGAATTCCATTCAGAACAAAATGCCTAGAAAGCTTGTGATAAGGAGTTAAGACACAGAATCTGACATCGTACGGAACCGATTGCTTACTGAACTTTGTTGTGAATTTGAATGCCGGGGCTTGGCAGACGAACTCATCCGAACAGCCAAGTATGTCGCCACCCCTGGAAAGGGTATTCTCGCCGCAGATGAGAGTACAACAACCATTGATGCAAGGTTGTCCAGCATCAACGTTGAGAACACCGAGGCAAATCGCCAGGCTCTTCGAGAGATGCTCTTCACAGCTCCCGGCGTTCACCAGTACTTGAGTGGAGTGCTTATGTTAGAGGAGACGCTGTACCAAAAAACAGTGGCAGGCAAACCATTTGTGAAATTGTTGAAAGAAGGTGGAGTCATGACGGGAATCAAGGTGGATACCGGAACGATCCCTCTTGCAGGGACCAACGACGAAACCATGACGCAAGGGCACGATGGTCTGGGCGCGCGATGCAAAAAGTACTACGACGCAGGAGCTCGATTCGCAAAATGGAGAGCAGTGTTGAAGATCGGGCACACGGAGCCCTCGGAGCTCAGTGTCCAACAGAACGCGCAGGGATTGGCACGATACGCAATCCTCTGTCAGGAAAATGGTCTAGTGCCCATTGTGGAGCCAGAAGTCATATCTGATGGAACCCATGACATTCGCAAGTGTGCCGAGGTGACGGAGCGTGTATTATCTGCTTGCTACAAAGCGCTCAATGACCAACACGTCTTGCTGGAAGGCACGTTGCTGAAGCCCAACATGGTGACGTCCGGATCGGATGCACCTAAGGTGAGCTCCGACATCGTTGCCAAATTCACCGTTCGCTGCTTGCAAAGAACAGTGCCTCCTGCTGTACCAGGCATCATGTTTCTCAGCGGCGGCCAGAGTGAGGAAGAGGCTACTCTCAACCTGAATGCCATGAACGCGTTGCAGACTTTGAAACCTTGGACTCTCAGCTTTAGCTACGGTCGTGCACTGCAAGAGAGCGTGCTCAAAACCTGGGCTGGGGAGAAGAAAAACTGGGTCGCTGCTCAGAGGGTTCTATACAACCGTGCCAAGGCCAATTCAGAGGCTGTTCTTGGCAAATACAGAGGCGATTCGGGCGGTGAAGCTGGAAACCTTTTTGTCCGAGATTACAAATACTGAAGAGAGAGCCTGGATGTGTCGCGAGTGTTGCACAAGCGAACGATTTCCAAGTCCCGCCGTCGACGATTCGCCGTTCTAATCCTTACAACTTTTGGCAGATGCAAATAGAACCTCAGAAGAAATTGCACAATGCAGTGGAAATAGTTTCAATTGCACCTCCTGGTTCCAATACTGCCATCGAACTTGCAGATTACTGCCGTCCTCAGATCACTCGTTCCTCCCTTGCAAGCTCCGTTCGCCATCGCCGAATCCGAAGTTTGTAAAAGCCACCATAAGCTTGAAACAGGTGGTGCCAGTTTCAGGTTTGACATTGAATTTGAATGTGATTCAAGGAGGGTTGCCTTGGCTCATGCTGTAGTCACACCCCAAATTGTTTTAGGCACACTCATTATGTCTATATGCACATGTGGACGTGGACAAAATATGTTTGTTAATTTCCAAAAACAATATTCAAGATAATTATTCATTTTTTTGCAGATGAAAAGACAATTCAAAATTTTCATGACTATGTATAGTAATATGTGTGCCTTTGAAGATGGAGAATTCATGAGTTATTAAGTACTGTAAAGCATGACAAGGTACATTAAGTATAATATTGAGGTGTGTTGAACTAGTTTTTTGATGTTACATGTGAATTTCTTATTTGTTTGATTATTTATTTTTATTTATTTTGAAGGATGGTTTATATATTGGATCACTCTAGTGATGTTGAGAGTAACTTCACACGTGTGTAAAATATCACAATTAATTTAAATCAGAGTAAATCTAGTCTATGTAAAATATACTGGACACCTTTTTATGTTAGATTTTTGTTTAGCCGTTTCCAAATATGACAAAAAGACAAATGATTTGACCTATATATATATATATATATATATATATGTATATAATATTTTTTTAAAGATGGACATTTCTTTGGTTTTAAAACTAAGATGTATCTTTCTTAACTAATTACCACATGCAATGGTCTATTGCCCCATCTACTAATAAAGTAATTTGAACCATAAGATTTGATAATCTTTCCAACTGAACATAAGCCATTAATACAACAAACACAAAGAATATGTTGGTTTTTTACTATTGGTACACATGATCCATCAACCCTCAAAATTGTTCTTTTGGAATGTAGCAAACAATATCATTATGGTACTACTTACAAACAAACAATGTTAGAGACTGCATTGAATATTTTAGGATAAAATCCACAGCCATGCATTTATTTTGCCAGTTTCTTATCAAGGATTTCTTTGCAGATTGTAATTCAAATGTGTACAACTCTTTCCAGTTTTGTATTCACCTTTTCAAGTTTTTTTCAAGTGTCCTAAAAATACGCCATTCTATACAATCAATGCAGTTAAACCTCTTGATTTATATGCAGCCACCATTTTCATTCCCAGCTCTATTGTGAAAAATACACACCAACTTTTGGCTAAAATGTTCTTTTACTTGCAAGGAAAGTTTATCCTTCAGGTTTCACAATGGTACAGTTTACAAGCAGACCAGCAACAACTAGCAGCAAAGTTCCTATGTGTAGGAACTAGACGTTTCCTTCAGCTCGCTAAAAATAGATTTCCAATCTCCAGATTTCTCCTTTTTGTTCGAAACCTGTGGGTATTAACACAAATGCAGCCACAAACATATTTAGTGCAGATCTCATTCCTTTGTCCTTATCTAAAAGAGCCGTGAAAGCATGGCTAGGTAAGACTGGTGGTTCACAAGAAACAAGTGCAACCAAAGCCACAGCACGAAGTACCTCGAATATGAGAGCTTGTTGAGGTGGTTTACTAAGGGCTCGCACACAAATCGTGGCGGCATCTTCTCGAGTGATGGTGCCAGTTATGGGTTCATCCTGCATAAATCATAAACCACATTCCATGGCTTAACCCTAAAGCACAGAAGCACATGATGGTGCAACCACCACCGCCAAGAAGGATTACTTCAAGGATGTCAGACAACATTTAAAACGCTCGGATGGTGCAAATGGAAGGGAAGATTGCCGTTCTGAATACCGCACATCCTGCTCCTCATTCATGTACACTGAGCAGCAAGGTATGGAACAGGACCATCCAAAACATAGGATCCACGAACCTGTGCGAATTGGAAGCCCTGCTGACCACCGGGTTCATCGCGAAGAGCTCCGGGCCGCACAATCGTGTAAGGAATTCCAGTGCTTGCAACAGCTGCCTCATCCAATTCTGCCTGTCGTCGAGCGCCCCCTTTAAACAGCGCTGCTAGTCCACCCTCGTTCCTGTATGCAGCCAACTGCAAGCTTCAGTCACTCCATTGGCAGTCTTAGATGTTGAATTCCTTGTTTGAGCTCTCAAAGCAACGATATACAAATTGAGAAGAAAAAATAGATTTTGATTACAAACTCAAAGTGGTTGTGCGAGGGTTACATGGTAATTCAGATTCGATAGATTGCAAGCTTCTTTAAGGAATGTACCTGGGACATGAAGACGATGTGCTCTACTCCTTTAAGCACTGTTGAGTCTGCCACTGCTCCTACCTGGTCGGTAGGCAAGGTACTGAGTACTTTGAATGAATGAAATTGAGCAGCAAGCGAGCAGATGCAGCCAAGTAGATTCACGAAACCACGAGAGCAGGTGCACAACATTGAAAAACCCATACAGAGATGATCCAACTGTAAGCGGGACCTTACTTTTGTTGGGATAACCACAGCTCGGACCCCTCGCAAAGCTTTCTTCAAGCTTGTTGCATCTGTCACGTCTCCTACAACAGGCTTCAAAAGAGAAAAGACGAAAATTGAAAATCCCCGATCATAAACCGAATGCCAATAAACTCTTCTCTAAAGTCGTAACTCATTTTGAATCAAAGCATCAGCACAATGCGGGAAACTCTGTGTTCAAGCATATAAAGGTACCTCAACATACGGACCAAACGCAGCTGTCGCAGCTTTTGCATCTCGCACTAACGCCCGAACACGAATTCTTTTCAATATCAGTTGGAGCACCAGAAGCTGCATTTAAAGACCAACGGAATTCCCAGTGTCATTGTCTGTAAACGCTGCAGTACTTCAGTTCCGTTACATAATCGATGAATGCTGCCGAATGCCACCACACACGATTATATCGATCCCATGGTGTTGCAATATTATTGAGTGTGGGGTACCTGGCCAGTCTCGCTATCAGCATCCGTGACCAGCACAGCGTCTCGGGGACCTTCTTCCTCCTCTTCGACAGGCTCTGGAGTCACAGTAGGTAAAGTGAAGAATAGCTCCTAAATGAAGTTTCACCTTCAAACTTCGTGATGAATGCAGATGCAGCGATCTAGATATACAATTGATAAGTTATCGCAGCAATCACGAAGTGGATTGACCACTCATTCGCGAACAATCAGATCCTAGAATTCAGTGGAATAATCTCGAAATGTTTAACCCACCTTCCTCGTCCTCATTTGATGGGCCTTCACCGCCATCCCTCGGCAGTTGGTCCGGAGCACCATACCATTTCCTAAGTTTGGGACCGCCTGCACAGTAACGGCAACATTCAGACTCTACTTCGTTCAGGACTGCTCACTACACATTCCTACAGACCATGCAGAAGGAAGGAGGAGAAGTGAAACCACAGATTAAAGCAACCCGACGTCGACGTAAGCCCGCAAAAACACATGACTGTTCTCAGAAACTCTCAGCACAGTTCCTGATTCTCAAAAATTCAGCCAAAAATATCGCAACAACCCCTTTCGTCTCACACTCTCTGTCTCGTCTGCAACCGGGAGGCTTCCCTTTGATTCAAATTTCACAATTGCAGTAAAAAACAACAAGGGAAGGATCGGGATTTCGACAAGGTTTTGCGTTGGTTGCACCTTCAATGTAGTCAAGCAACTGGTCTCCTAACGAGAACGAAGGCTTCTCTTCATCGCCTTTCTTGGCAGCTCGCACTCTCGGCAAGCTCCTGGTGGTGCCAGACGGAACCAAACAACATGGTGGACAGGGGGTGAGACGCTGTGGCAGGGTGGTCCTGGTGAGGGCATTGAGGGAGGAGGTGGGTGAGATGACGGAGTTGGAGAGGATAAGGGCCGCCATAGCTAACCACCACAGCTCCGCTGCTGCCAGACCACCACCAAGAGTTGATAGAGAAACTAAACTGTGAGAGCTTCGCTCTGCATTCCGAGGAGACCCGACCCCGCCCGACCCAATGTCTTGTTCACACCGGCGGACGATCTAGCCTATCCAGGTTGTCCGACGTGGCTGGAGCAGAGGAGAGAGAGGCGTGGCCCTTGTGTTGAGAAAATGAAGAGAAAACTGATTTTATGTCAATAGTGGAAAATATAAATTCGGGCAGCTTGGAATGGAAATAAATCCGGTGAAAAGGAATGAGACAGTGGGTGTTGTCAACCATGATTTACAAGGATTATGAAATAGACCCAAGTTTTTATTAAATCAACCGACTCATGCTGACCATCATGGAAGAAAAAAAAATAAAAATGACCTATAGATTTATTTCTCTACTATTGGATCTGCAACCAATGAAAACCAACCACATTCATTATGATTACCATATTCTTCATCAAGGGTGAATTGACTTAGTAAAAGCACAGATCTATTTAACACTCCCCAAACTATATTGTGTATTAGTATACACCTCATTTATAGGTATTACAAATTTGTGTTGAACGTTTCTTCTATAACATTTTACTATTAATCATGTCATTCTTGGTCTAGTTGAACAATAATTTGTCCTTCCAAAATTTTGATTAATACTAAAAAATCTCTTGGTTGTTGATAGTGTTGAGAGTTTTTGTGTTTGAGCACTACTTGCAGTGCATGCAAATGCTAATGGCCTTTTTTTTGGATTTTTTAAATATTTTTTTATATTATTATTGAAGAAAAATTTATGTAAAAATCATATTAATTACGTTTTAAAAATTAAAATAGAAATGGATTCTTGTTAAACTAATTTAGAATTTCGACATAAGATGTTGCTTAAAAATATAGCAAACATGTTTGGAAATACATAAGATCAAAATGCATATTGACAAGAATGAGCATAAACCCATAGAGATATCATATTACATCATTGTTTATGAATATAAATCCAATCACAAATTAAGATTAGATATTGAAGTTCTGAATGTGGTGAATAAAATTCAAAATTTTCCAGAAAGTTACTAAAATAAAACAAATATGAATGTTATGAAAAAAATTAAAAAAGATTATCAAACCATCTTTGAAATTACCAAATTTTTAAGTAGTTTTTAATAGTTAAGCCATAAACAATAATGTGATTTTAAAAAAAATATATCTTGCTAATTATACTAAGATTTTAGATTGAAATTTCTAACATAGCTTGTTTTGAAGTGTTTTCAAAGTAAATCTTGTTTCTAATAATACTTATGGCACAATCAGATTAAATAACTAAAACTTCAAACTGAAATAAACTTTTCAAAAACAATATTATCCAAGTTAAATTTTTACAATAAAAATATGTTTTAGTATTTTGTAAATAAATAAAAAATCCTTTATAATTTATGTACAAAGTGATTATTCTCAAAATAATCGAAGTATTACTTCTGTATTTATGGTGTTTTAAATTTATAGTTTGTGTATATATTTTAATATTTTTAATTTAAGCAAAAAAATTAGCAATAAAAATCTTATTTGGGCAATAAATTTTAATTACGGTTTTACAATTATTATTATCATTATTATTTAATGTAATTCAAACAACAATGTTGATACCAAAAACTCACAAAAAGTGTAATGGCTAAGATTAAACGTGTAGAGCTCTTAAAAACAATCACTAGACTGTGTGCTGATTCTATAATATTTTGGTTTTGAGTTGTTTGAATCAAAAATATTAAAATTCAAAGAATTTATTAAACTTTAATTGGTGTAATATTTTATTTTTGAAAAATTATTAAACTTAAAGCTAAATTATTTAAAGATGTACCTTAACGTGTAATTTAATTTTTATAAAATTAAATAATATATAAAATACATGTTTTAAATATTTAATTTTTTGTTTATTTTTTTGTGAATATTAAAAATCATAATCTTAAAAAAAAATAATATATGATTTCAAGGTATCAAGAATTTCACAAATCAATTTTCTTTAGATATTTCAAATATTTTATTTAATTTTTCACTTTAATTATATATATATATATGTATATGTGTTTCCAATAGAATTTTGATTCTTAAATCAAACTAAAATTGTAGTGATTTTATAAATATCTTTACTAGATGAAAAATAAAAAGAAACTTTTATGAGGATTAGTATTAAAGTCAATATGCAAAGATACCTTTTTTGACATGCTAAACAAATATTCAAAAACCGTAATGCTCAACAAAGCATCATTTTTGATGAACGAACATGTCTCGTAAGTTCCTAAACATGTTTTGAACTGCTTCTCATGTCGCCGTGGAACAATAAGCGACGAATGAGAAACAGTAGATGAAAGACGACACAGACATAGATGAATGATTTTATTCATCCAACCACGGCGGGTGAGTTCTTTGAGTGTTTCGGGGCTCTGAGAGTGTGTATTTGGATTCATTCTATGCTGCTGCTCCCTTCGACCTCCTTCGGACCTCCTTTGCATTGCCCTGAAGCTGCCGTCATTGTGTTGGATCGCACACTCGTTTAGAAAATCATGTCGCAGAACTTAAGTATTCTTGGAGATCGGCAGACTGGCCAAGATGTCCGCTCTCAGAATGGTTGGAACACGTCAACTTTGCTGCTTCAAAGTGGGGTTTAGGGTTTTAGTGATTTCTCTGTGTTTGTGGGGATCGCCGTTGGAAAATCTTATAGATTTAGCAGAGGCTGTGGAGGTTCTGGAATTGACTGTATGGTGTAGAGGTTGTGATGGGATCAGTTGTGTGAGTTGGAGGTTGGAGTGGTTTTTTTCTGGTTTTTTTTCTGGTTTTTTTTTTTTTTTTTTTTTTTTTCGAAAGTTCGTGTGAATGCGGGAACTGATCGAATGGTGGTCGTTTTTTCATTGAGATGCAGTTATGGCTTGTCAAGCCATCGCCAACATTGTGAAAACTTCGTTAGGGCCAGTTGGTCTCGACAAGGTTCGTGTTTTTGTGCTTTACTCTGTATTCTACTAGGTGATACAAGGATCTATTGATGTATATCTCAGTTCGATTGATATGTCTTTCTTAGTCTGGTTTTGTTAGTCCTCAAATAAATATATGTATTTTTGTCTAACTTTTGAGCATTTTTAGGTTTTGGTTTGATTATGTTTTCTTTTTTCTTTTTTCAATTCTTGATGTTGGATTACAGATGCTTGTGGATGATATCGGCGACGTTACTATAACAAATGATGGAGCTACCATTTTAAAAATGCTTGAGGTGGAGCACCCCGCTGCTAAGGTGAGTCAGTGCCGGAATTGTTCTGTTTCTTTGAAATCGTCATGTTCTTGGTTTTCATTCTTGTTCAAATCTTGTAGACAATATTGTTGGTGTACTGATTACTTGCGGATGAGATAAATCACAATATGACGAAGTCATGTGATCAAGAGATGCAGATTGATTTTCTGCCCGTGCTGTAAAAGAAGAACTACTGTTTTGTATCTGTAGATCTAATCTAGCGTGAGTGTCAACGTCACTGCTAGCGTCTGCTTGTAGAGTTGGTTCTTTGGTATTTGGGTGAACGTATGACATCTGCCTGGAAACAGTATTTTTTAAACATCAGTTTGCGTCCAGCACAGGACCTTCATGCATCATTTACTACTATGATATGTAGGTGATAAGCTTTTCCGTAACACATCATGCATGACCGTTGATAGATGCCAAGCTAGTTGAACTAATGGCGAAGTTTCCATTAGGTGCTGGTGGAGCTAGCTGAACTGCAGGATCGGGAAGTTGGAGACGGAACAACTTCGGTTGTTATCATTGCTGCAGAGCTTCTCAAGGTTAATGACACCTCCGAAAGCTTGTTTACATGTTAATATTGCTCCAGTTCATTGTCGGTAGGTCCAAACTTGTAAATGTGATTAGGGAATTGTTTATGCATATGTGAATGTTAATTATGTTCCATATCCATCTTGCATGAATGGTTGCTTATCAATCCGATTGACTTATGGTTTCAAATTTTGGATCTACAGAGAGCAAATGACTTAGTTAGGATCAAGATACATCCCACTTCAATCATTAGTGGTTATCGAGTAAGTTTGTTTTTCTCTCTTGTCTGTCTTCTTTTTAATATATCAATCAAATTATACTAGCAAGTATGTAAGGGTGAGTTCTTCGAAAGTTATCGCGAGCTAGCAATATTTTGACTACCTGGGTTTATTTATGTTGCCAGCTTGCCATGCGTGAGGCGTGCAAATATATCGATGACAAGCTTGCTACAAAAGTATGGTTTGTGCACCTGAAATAGTGACTTGGGACCTTCAATTGACGCATGTCGCTCCAAGTCGTCCTGGATTTACGTTGATGCCATTCTAGTCCTTGATTTTAAAAATTATTATCCTTATTATGATTTCATCTTGATACCCTCTGTATCCTGTTAAGGGCTTCATATTAGTGCTAACCATTTGCAACAAAATGCAGGTCGAGAAGTTGGGGAAGGACACTTTGCTTAATGTCGCTAAGACCAGCATGTCTTCCAAAATTATTGGGCCTGAATCCGATTTTTTTGCAAAGATGGTGTGTACCTATCTGTGCCTCGTGATGTGAGTGATGAAAGGGTGGTAGTGTGGAACTTTTACCGGTGTGAATGGTTACTCCAGGAAGCTTGTTCAGTGTAATTCTGTATCAAAATGGCTGACGAGGCTCTCTCGTGCAGTACGGTTTTGTAGGAATCATGTTTGTCAATTTCATGTGCCGCTTCTGCACTTCACAGGTCAAAGATGTTAATGTTCTTAGTTTTTCAACGTTTGTTGAAGAGTCATGTCATAATGACGTGTTTTCATTTCTTCATTAACAGGTGGTTGATGCTGTACAAGCTATCAAGGCTACTTCTGATAGAGGCGACGTTAGATATCCCATTAAGGTCTTTAACTTTATTTTTGGAATAAGTGGATTTCATGCATCGCTTGGTTTTGATATAGTTTTGCTGACCATTGGGTCTTACTTGCTTGGTGTGATTTTGTAGTGTAGGTTTTTGTGCAGATAATGCTTGTTGAAGCATGAAATGTTTGCACGTTAACTGTCTGTTATTGGATTGTAAATTGTGCAGTCCATCAATATTTTGAAGGCTCATGGACAGAGTGCCAAAGAGAGTTATCTTCTTAATGGATATGCTTTACCGTTAGGGAGAGCTGCTCAGGGTATGCCAAAACGAGTGGCACCAGCCCGCATAGCATGCTTGGATGTCAACTTGCAGAAAACAAAAATGCAAATGGGGGTACAAGTCCTTGTGACAGATCCCAGAGAACTAGAGAAAATTCGTCAACGGTAAATACTCTACCGACAGCTACATTGTGTGTTTCTTAAGAACTAGAGATTTTGAAATGTAATCTGTCCTCATTATTGGCTCATATTCTGTTCACATTTTGAAAAATTCTAGGGAGGGATTTGTTTTGCTTATTTGTGTTTTGTAGAATGTTTACGTTTTTATCATCTTGTTTACTAGTCCCAGCGTTTATACACGAGGTTGTTTCTGCAGGGAAGCAGATATTACTAAAGAGCGCATTGAGAAAATGCTCAAGGCAGGGGCAAATGTCATCCTTACTACCAAGGGCATTGATGATATGGCTCTAAAGGTGTGATTTTGGTGATATATTTCATGTAGGGGAGGCTACAATTACTTTCTACTACGTTTAATTTAATTTTTGGTTAAGAAGGTTTGAAAATATTTTGAATGTTTATTGACCTTTATGTCTTGTCATTATTCGGTAGAATTTTTTTTTGTCTTGGTTTTGCACTGTCTGAAGTTGCTATTGGAACTGTGAAATGGATGTGGCGATGGATAAATTCTGGGTGGATTCAGTACTTTGTGGAGGCCAATGCTATTGCATTGCGACGCGTAAGTAAGGAAGATATGCGTCACATTGCCAAGGCCACTGGTGCAACCCAGGTATACAACTATTCAGGCTCAAACTTGTTTCCTTCCTTGGACTTTACAGTGCAATGCCTTAGCTAATTTAATTAGGTGTAAGGATCACAGAAGTTATAGTTGTACTACTAGGCGTTGTGTCTATTTCTCTCTTTTTTTCTTTTTTCTTTTTTTGCATGCGAAGATGGTATAAAATATTCTGAGGTCTTTGAACTTTCATTTGTTCAGGTGCTTACTTTTGCGGATATGGAAGGAGGTGAGACATTTGATGCTTCTCTACTGGGAACGGCGGAAGAAGTTGTGGAGGAGCGAGTATCTGATGATGATGTCATTCTTGTTAAGGGTGCCAAGAGTTCAAGAGCAGTAAGTGAATATTTGTTCCATTGTTACGTGTTCTATATTGGGCTCCTTATTACGTTAGCATTTTTCATCGTGATATTATTTCCTACCGGTTTCCTCTTTCTTGTTGTGACAAGAGTAGATGATTGCCCATCCAATTAATGTTTCATGGTAATTCATTTTTACGATGTATCAGGTATCAATTGTGTTGAGGGGAGCCAATGACTGTATGTTGGATGAGATGGAACGCTCTATTCATGATTCATTGAGTATTGTCAAGCGTACACTGGAATCTAATACTGTGAGTGCTTTTCATCTTCTCAACTCTTTTGTCTTTCCTTCTATAACCTTAAGTTCCAGTGGTTAGTCCTACAGCTTGTGTATGAAGCATCAGTTGTGTGACACTGAATGAACATCGGGATCCGTTGTTCTGTCACAGGTGGTTGCAGGAGGAGGGGCAGTGGAGGCAGCCTTGTCAGTGTACTTGGAAAATCTAGCAACTACGTTAGGATCTCGAGAGCAACTTGCTATAGCTGAGTTTGCTGAGGCTCTACTTGTTATTCCAAAAGTGAGTCTTTTGTTATTTCCGTCCCGACTTATCATGATGGATTTTTCTAGTGTGTGGATAAGGATGATTCCATTCTCCTGGTCCTCTTGTTGGATGATATGTCGATATTTGCTGTTCATTGGAAGTTGATGTAGGGCCTGAAGTTGTTAATCGTGTCAGTATATGGATTCATCTGCTATCCCTGCACAATCTAAGTTTTTGAACATGGGCGGGGAACAAACAGGTTCTTGCTGTGAATGCAGCGAAGGACGCAACAGAGTTGGTTGCTAAACTTCGTGCATACCACCACAGTTCTCAAACGAAGGCTGACAAGCAGCACCTTGCTGGGTATGTACTTGTGTTGCTTTTAGCTGTAGATGTCGTGTCTTTGCAGTATTCTGTTGGATGTCATTGTTATCATTGTCCTTGTTTATTTCTACTGTTTCCCTTTTACTTCTTCACGTTGTGACTTGTTCTTCATTTGCTTAACCTTTTCCAAGAACACCAAACAAAACAACATTCTGTTCGTACTTCCGCGTGATGTGGTTTAGGTGACTTTTTTTCTCGATTGTTCAGAACTGGATTGGACTTGATCAAGGGAGTGGTGAGAAACAACATCGACGCTGGTGTAGTAGAGCCAGCCATGAGCAAAGTTAAAATTATTCAGGTATTTATCTTCTGCTGGTTATTGTCTCCGTTAGCTTGATTAGGTTTTATTGTCCTCGTTTGTGCAGTCTACTAGTTTGAGGTAATTTTTCCCATGTTGAATGGTAACATCTCTTCAGTTTTTGAGATCATTAGTTCTAAATATCTGCTGGCATCTAATCAATTTATTGTAATGCCTGTTCAGTTTGCTACCGAAGCTGCAATCACAATCCTTCGAATCGATGATATGATCAAATTGTTCAAGGAGAACGATGGTGAAGAGTAAGCATTCCCTCTAGTATAGTCGGGATTAGTTGCGCGTCCTGAGAGTAGGATCTGCTAAAGGGAAGTTTCGGATGTAAGTGTGAGCTTTGTCACAACCGAAGGGCTTGGAATTTTCCAACTAAGAATTATCAATGGAGTCGTGACTCGGAATTATAGAGTGTTCAACACTAAAGCAGTGTAAAGATTGAGAAGATCAGCGACAATTAGTGGATGATAATGTGGAAAGTTGGAATGAAGGCCATAGTGCACCACACGGTTTCGTGTTTACAAGCCCAGTTAAAGGTCAAACAGGTATCACAGTCATTATTTTTAATTGGAACTCCTTTTAAAGGTCTCTTTTCTTTTTGCGATTTTTTGTTCTGCATGTAATTCTTTCATAATTTTGTGTTAGTCGATAGCTGATTTTTCTTAATTGGACTTTTCAAATATTAGCGCAGGATGTCCAATTTGGAATTTGGCATGTGTTGGACGCAAGAAGTTTTATTTGAATTTTATTTGAATTAGTTAAACCAAAAATGTGGAGAGAAATGAAGGGGATAAAAAATTACTCTAATCAAAATTGGCAACAAGAATTTACACGAAGGTTAGGTGATGTTTATGCAAGACTTAGTTTGGTTGAATGTTTTTTGGAATTGAAGGTTGTTTTTTTTATTGGAATTACTCAACATGTCATTGTGAAAGTGATTGATTTTGAAATACCTTGGTTAAAGTTGGAAGCAAACCAAAATCTACAGTATAAAGATCTTTATGGTATTATTGCAAATATGGTTCTTTAGGTGTTAAAAACCGAATTTCAAACAATTACAATATGTTCTTTTGAAGTAAACGTACATTCATTTGCAATAGTATGGTTTTAGATTCTCTCAAAAAAGAAAGATCTATTTAATAATAATATAATAATAATATGTTCTCATAAGAGAGATAAAAAAGAAATCAAAACGTGGAAGGTCTAAGTTTACCTTCATTTGTAATGAATTAACCCAATTTGTGAAAGACTGTTAGAAGTGGAATCTTTTGCAATAACCAAATTTTGCAAATATTTATGAAAGATTGAGTTGATCAAGGTATGAATTTTTAGTTGGAATTACTATGGCAAATATACCATGTTTTGGAACATCAAAAAAAAATATTATCAAAATATAGAAATTCAACAAATACTCAGTAGATTGCTATCGGTAAGATTTATACTAAAGATCATAGTAAGTATGTATTAAATTAATTGGATTAATTATATTTATTTTGTGAATACACTCTTTTATGATATAGTGATGGTTATATACTTTATTAAGAAAGCAAGTTGGTAAAACTAGGTTAAAATATAATACTTATATCATTTTTATTTTTTTGTTGATTTATGATTGAATTTCATATCATATGTCAATTTACCTAAGAAAGAATAATTTGGTTAAGTACAGTATTTATCACAAATAAGACAACATTGTACAAATAAAATAAAGCCATTGTATCTTGTTGGAATGAGTAAAATAGGCAAGACTATAATATAAAAGGTTATATTGAAAATGATATGTAGCACATGTAGGATACCTCATACTATGTTCAATGCATTGAAAGTAGTGGTGATGGCTATATAACTTGCAATATTTTAGAATAATTTGAAGTTAAATTGAAAGTAAGGGATGCAAAAGAAGTTCAAGAAACATTACAAGCATTCTTAAAAAAACAATCACCATCTTGGTCTTTTATAATGTAAAGAATCCAAGTCAATTTGAAGATCTTAAGCTTGACATCACTACCAAATAAATTCGGCAACTTCACATCTTTGACTACCTTAGATAAAAGCAAATACTTAAGTTGAATATCTTTGATTGAAAGTGACTCCAATTAATAATGTTCTGAATTGAATTGTGGTTATATATATATATATATATATATATATATATATATGTTATATTTATAATTGTTACTCTGAGTTTTTATGAAAATATAAAACTTGTTTAAAATTTACAAAGTGTAATATCTTAGTATTTTTTATAGTTGTTATCTACTATTACTTAATTAGTATTGGAATAAAATCAATTAAAAATTTAAATATTTTTTTATGAAAACTAAAGATCCAAGAAACAAAAAGAGTATTCATAGAGTTAAAACTTTGTAGATACATAGAATTGAGGTAATTAATATTTGTAATTATAGATAATTTTTAAATTTTTATTAGCTAATAAATTGGATGAAATTAAAGAAACCAATATATTATTAAAGACTATATTTGCATAAAGAAATAATAATATTAAAAAAATAACTAAGAAGTAGTGAAGCTAATCTTACTTAAGTAGAAGATCAAAAGATGAAGGAATAAGAACAATTAATTTTACAAAAAATAATATATTTTTGAGAAATTTTATTTCTATTTCTATTTTTTGTATATATATTCAATCAACAATGTAAAAAAAACCATAGTAACATTCTAATATGCATTTATTTATTTATTTATTTTAAAACTATAATTTTTGAGATTGATTAAACTTTTCAACTACTAATGAATAGTAAAAGTGATTAATTGGAAAAAATCTAATCTTGATATGGGTACAAAAATCAATCTTATAATTGGTATTGTAGCAAAATAAAAACAAAGACAAAGAAAAGAGTGGTTGAAGACTAATAAATTATATGAACTTGGTGTTTTTTTGATGAAAAATTCTAGGAATTGATAAAATAAAATATTTACTCAATCTAATATACATATAGTTTAGAATAAAAAGACAAGAAAGAGGTCTTTATTCCAATAGGAAATATATAGAACTAATAGATAAATTTAAAGATGTTATATAATCTAAATCATAGTAGTTCAAATCAATCAAGAAATTATGAGAACAAACAAAAATTGATATCATTAAAAAATTATAATTTATTTTATAAAAAAATAACTCTAACATAGTTACTATGAATTTTTTTATTATATTAATTTAACATAAATCAATTTAATATTTACCAATTACTAAAAAAAACATTGGATTTATTTGATGGTTATATTGATTATATTTAGAAATAAATAAAAATAATTTAAATCAGCATGTACATAAATTTCTAATTTTTTATAGTGCTAAATATTGTAGGTCTAAATTCTATTTGTTAAATTTGTTATCTACTATTTATAAAATAAGTACAAAACTATGTTTTAATATCAATCTTTAGATGATTTTTAAACTTGGAAGGAACTTAAGCATATTTTGGTTATTGAGCTTAGACTAATTTCTAATAAGTAATGTTTTAATAAAAAATTGATCAACTTCCACTTGTCTATAAAAAAAAAGCAATAAATTTTTTATTATAGTTGAATCAAAGATTTTTTTTTTCTTTTTTTTTTTTTTTTTTTTTATAATTCGTAACACAACATGGCTTTGAAAATATTATGTGATTTAGATTTTATGTAAGATGATTAATTATTTTTATTCAAAATTAATGATTAAGAAATTTGAATAAGTATATTAAATAACTTATAAAAGAAATAAATTGTAATAAGTTCAATATAAAGAAACCTATAGCATAGCTATAAAAAATTAAAAATTTATAATAAATACCAATATCAAGAATTAGGATTTTTTTTTTTTAAAAAAAAAAACCAAACTAATTTTATTAAATAAATCCTCACTAATTAAATTTAAGATTTAGGATGTGGAGTTTAAAGTTTAGAATATAGGAATTTAAGATTTTAGGACTTATAACTAAATATATGTGCCTAATATTTTAACATCCATATTTTTTTGTTTTTGATTTAATCTATTTTTTTTTCTTATTTTTGACATCTAACATTCCAATAGTTTAAAAAACTTGCTTTCTAAGTTTTTTTAACTTTGATATTATAATTTCTTTGGCTTTGATATTAGGATTTTAAATTTTGAAATATATGAATTTTTTAAGTTTTAAATAATCTATTATATTTATTTTTACATTGCCAAATCTAAATATATATTTGGAAGTTTTTGGATTTGTAAATTTTGAAGATTTAACTATTTTGGTTTTTCAATTGACTTTGAAAATGATTAGGTTCTTAGAAGTGAAAATTTGTAATAACTTCTTGTCAAGGACTTAAACTTTAAAGAACTAAAATATTAATACATTCTTGTGTCATTCAAAAAGAATAAAAAATCACTCAAAGATGATATGGTATTAAATTGGAATGACTATTACCAAAGACAAATAGACTAAAAAGTCTTGAAATAAGATTAAGGACTAGAAAGGCATTGACAAGGATGAAGAAGGCTTCACTCTTGCCTCCATATATACTCTTAATTAGGAACTATATGGCAATGTCTTATAGGGCCTCTAAAATGTATTGACTTTGTAAGGCATGTATCTTAACTTGCAAGGCGATTTTTTTATATATGTACCACATAATTAGCTTGTTTTGTAAGCTATCAATACATAATAAACTTGTTGACCAAGTTTCTAACCTATCAATCAACTGTAAATACATGTAAAATCAAAGCAGCATCTATGAAGCTTCTAAAAAGCTTTTTTAGAAATAAATATATTTTTATCTACTTCTATTTAATCAAATAGGTAAATATTAGAATATATATATATATATATATATATATATATATATATATATATATGTATTTGTAATATTTCTATCTTTCAAGGTTTACAAATCCAATTGTGAATTAAGTATTTTTTAGAAGTTTTTTAATTTTTAAATATATGGACTTTGATTTAAAATATTTTTATTAATGTATATTCAACTTTGACTCTTTTACCTTTTGAGATAATCTACATATTTATTTTCAATACTTTTGATTCTAATAATATATTTAAAATATTTAACAAGTATATAATTTAAAAGATATGAAAATTTTAAAATTATATATTTTTATTTTAAATATATATATATATATATATATATATATATAAGAATATTAAGTAGATATAGTATTTTATTAAATTAATCCACTTATTATCACAAATTGGCTTATGGATTGTTCAATTCTTCTTCATCATTAGAACCATCATCTAAATTTGAATTAAAAAATCATTGTTTTTCATGAATACAATTTATACAATTATAAAAATATGATTGGTATCAACGAGTATCAAAAACTAAAATTAATGAATATTTTCCTTTGTCTTGTCTTGTCATATCTATAAATTTTTATATATTCAATTTTCTTCATGTTTATCCTATACTATAGTTTCTTATTTTAGATATTGTGTCTAATGTACAAAGATGAGAGAAAATTTTATACTCTATAATTATTTGGATTTTGCAATAGTAATTCAAATATACATATTTATTCTAGTATAGGGATATTTTGAAAGTATAAAAGAGATAAAAGATAACATAGATACATTTTCATATATTCAAGGATATATCAATTACAAACATTTCTTT